ACATCTTAACCATGCTGTTATAAGAGAGCTTTCCCAACAGAAGTTCGATCTAATATATACAAACTTCGGTCACAACAATCCATAGTGGAAGGTAAGATGTCCATTTGGTACCCATATAAGAAAAGTAAAGTAGTTCATCTCCTGGTGGTCGCCCGCTAGCTCTGATTGGTACTAGTTTCCTCTTGCCTTTTCCAAGTCTGGAAGATCTGCAGTACATACCGTATTTCGTTAGAATAGCAAGCCACAGAGAGCAAAACAGCCATTAGGATAAAGAAGGTTAGCTACATGAAACAAAACAGTAACAGGATAATGAGCAACACTTTAGATCTAGAATGTCCAAGACAAGAACTACAGGTGACTGTAATTTGTAACCTTCGAGAAAGAGATATCACAGTGTATTTAGGTAATAAAAGAGAAAGGTACACTCGACATGAAACATGTGCCAAGCCAGAATCAAGAAGCTTTATGCAGGTATAAGTATTAACAAAACAGGGGTTAAGATTTCACATCTATCATGCTTTTTAATTTGTTTTGCATAAGCATAGTGCACGTATGTCTTTTCATCATGCAAAAAATCTAACAGTTTCATGAAGGTGATTGATTAGTGCAACTCACAGAGCAGGCCATCATCATCATCACTGCTTCCATCATCTTCACCAACAAACTGCATGGAGAAACAAAAATCAGATTAAATGATTAAACAATAATTATGAAGCACCCATAACACACTAATTCCTTGCTCTATAGTGCAAATTTGATCTTTAAGTAGATATAATTTGGGTTTATGTGGATGAGTTTATTGTAGCAGATTCTTTGAGAATATTGGAGTATTAGCTCGTCTTTAATTGCTTAGAACCTCGGGGTTTGCTTTATTTATCACTCAAGAAGATGGTTTCTCCTTATCTCCCCCACAGGAATCTTAGGATCAACTGCCAAGTATATTATTGTCTTGAACCATTCTTGACAACACCATACATCCAAGAGAAATCCAAAATGATTAAATTACCGCTGCATCATCGTCAGAGGCCAAATTAGCTGCAAAGTACCAAACAAACATCAGTAAATCCGGTGAAGTTTCTAGTAAAAAATTTAAAATCCTTTTAATATATTCTTCTATAACATAACAAATAACACCTCATGCAATGAATGAACAGCGCACCTCATGTTCCATGCCGTTTCTTCAACCAATATCCTATCCTCATCAGATGAAGGTCCACAAGTGACAATGCTTCCATCTTTAGTCCCCTATCCTTTCTTGTCAGAACTAAAGAAGGCACACCTATGTGTCACCAATAATCCCCACAAGAGCAAACACCATCATTGAAGTGATGAAAACGGTTTGAATCCCTAACAATAATCTCCCTTTCAGTAACTTTTGAAATGAGTTTGGTTGCATTGTGGCAATCACCACAAACACGAAGGTTCTTGAATATTCGAATAGGACTTTTAGGAGGAGTGCTAATAATTCCAAATGCCATTGCCAATCTCTCACTATGACTCATGAGGATATGCTCCTTCTCATCCTCCTCAACATCCTGTAACACAAAGCTATAGTCTGGAATGTAACCAAGGATTTTCATTTTATCAGTCAAACTCCTTAACTCAGTGTATATCTCCTCACATTTTGGATGGGTTTGGTTCCCAGTATAGAAAACTTCAACCTTATTATTTACTTCTATTGAGCTCCAACCTGGGGTCTTCTTCAATCCCCTGTCTCTTGCCAGTGACCTTACTTTACCCACTCTCTCCCATTTTCCAGCATTTGCATAAATATTTGATAACAGAACGTAGTACCCAACATTCTCTGAATCAACTTCAAACAAGTGTTTGGAAGCAGAGGTGCCCAAGTCAACATTACCATGTATCCTACAAGCAGCGAGAAGAGCACCCCAAACAGATGCATCTGGCTCCACTGGCATACCTTTTATAAAATCGTATGCCATTTCTAAATGCCCTGCTCGACCAAACAAATCAACCATGCAGCCATAGTGCTTTAAACTAGGCTGGATCTGATAATGTTCCTGCATCACATGAAAGCACCATTGGCCCTCATCAATCAAACCCGAATGACTACAAGCTGACAACAGAGATATAAAGGTAACATGGTCAGGTTTCACACCCTCATCTAGCATTTCTCTAAACAATTTCACAGACTTCTTACCATGGCCATGAATCCCATGACAGGATATTATGGAATTCCAAGGGACTGAACTCTTTCTGGGGACTTCATAGAATAAGGACATTGCATCATCCAATCTCCCACATTTTCCATACATGTCAATGAGGCAGGTTCCTACAAAGACATCCAAGTACAGAGAGTTCTTAAACACCCGACCATGAACTTTCAATCCTTGTTGCAGGGCTCCCAGATGAGAATAAGCTGGTAGAATGCTCACCCAAGTCCCCTGGTTTGGTATTATCCCATTGAATTGCATCATCTGGTATACTTCAATTGCTTCACTTGCAAGCCCATTTTGAGCATAACCAGTGATCATTGTGTTCCAAGAAATTGCATCTTTAACAGGCAGACCATCAAAAACTGCACATGCATAATCTATAACCCCCAACTTAGCATACATGTCCACCACAGCATTTCCCAGAATAACATCTTGTGAAATCCAGTCCCTCCTAGTTATAAATCCATGGACAGCCTTACTATTTTGAAAGTCATTTAACTGGGCAACAATAGAAGATAAACTCACCAGTGTCAGCAAATCTGGATGAGCTCCAATCAGTCGCATCTTATTAAATAGCCCTAGTGCTGTAATTGGATCATCATTCTGCTCATACGCAGCTATTATGGAGTTCCATGACACAACATCCTTTACCACCATGTCATTAAAAACCCTCTCTGCATGCCCCAGGTTACCAAATTTGGCATACATGTTAATCAATGCATTACAGACAAACAGATCAAATTCCAGACCATGCTTTATAGTGTACAAATGAATAAGCATCCCATTTAGAATATCATCTGATTGTGCACAAACAGAAAGAATACTAGCTACTGTAACAGGATCCATCCTAACCCCTTCCAATCGCATGTCATACAAAACATCTAAAGCTTCTGCAGCATTCCCATTTTGACAACACCCTGAGATCATTGCATTCCAAGAACCCATATCTCGTACTGGCATATCATCAAATAATTTCCGGGCAAAACCTACTAATCCAAACCGAGTATACATATGGGTCAAGGAAGCAGCAACAAAGACATCCCATTCAAAACCCAGCTTTAAAACCAAGCAGTGTATCCTCATCCCATCAAGTAGGTTTCTACAAGCTTTCAAAACAGGAGGAAAGGTGTGGAAATCAGGTTGAAGACCAGAAGTAAACAAAAAACGATAGAAACAATCTAAAGCTTTCCTAAAATGACCACTGCGAACATAAGCAGATACCATTGAATTCCAGGTATAGACATTCTTGTTTGATATATGATTAAAAGTTCGGCGGGAGGCTGAGATATCACCAAGGTAGGCATAATGATTGACAAGCTTGGTGGAGATAAAGATTTTTTGAACTTTTCCCGAAACCACCAGAAGAGCATGAAGGCACTTAGCTTGGTGCAGTTGGGTGCAGTGTTTAAACAGAAGATCAAAATCAACGTCTTTGTTCCTGTTTTCAAACTCATTTGAAGAAATTTCTATTGCATCTGTAGCTGCTGAAAACAAGGCAGAATGTGCTTGAAGGGAGGCCAAGAATTTGGATACAAGCTGACCTTTACAGGTTGGCAGCAGCAATCTGATAAACAGAAATGTAAATGCATAAGGCGAAGTATAAAATTACAGAAAAGATTGAAGACATACTAGACCCTTAAAAGGAACTCAACATAAAAAACTCAAATGATGCCCAAAATTATACTCTGTTCAACTAATCCTGAAGGCAAGTACTCAAAAAGAAGTGTAGACAGTTGGAATTGCTTCATGTCCAAATAACTTACAACGAGAACTCCAAACAACATAAACACAGTTCCAGCCTAGTGGGTAGAGAAACATGCAAACTGTTGGCTTCTAACCTTCCAAGGGTACGAAATTATTTCAACCAAAAAAAGGGGTTAAAGGCAATGGACATCCTTGTACTATGAAATGTGGTTCATTATTGTCCCTGTACCACAAGCCTAAAAAAATGTTCACTAGAGTCCTTGAACTTTATATTTCAGTTACTGGGAATGCTACTGCTTAAAATTGTTGGTTGGAATCCTCAAACGGCATCCATGTTTTCTCCCCTGAACCTATCCATGTTATTTCCAAGCAAAAAAAAATAACTTTGCCTCAAAAATTCATATGGTAGAACATCAAGACATCCCCTGGTAACTGAACCAGACCATTCTTTTCATCAAGAGTCAAGACTACCTAAGAAAAATGGTTCTTCTTACATCTTCTCAGCAACAAAAGCAAAAACAAAGAAATTGACAATGAATGATAACAGAAAAAGGAAAAAGGTTCTCCAGACATCGTAACAAATAAAATTACAGTGGTTACTAATTGTGTTTAAAGAACACTGTCTCACAAGATACAAGACTTACTTCTCTAACAAATTATAGAACAAAGTATCATTAAAAAAAAAAGAAAATTTGAAATTTACTCTCTTTTTTATTTAACAATTATTCTCCATATATTGGAAAGCATTTTATTAAAATTGATTTTAAGTTTTTTCATAAAAGCTCTTTCGACTTTCAAGACTTAATATTTCAATGGGTGCAACAGCCATTGCAGCCATGCTGTTTCTCAAGTATATATAAACCAGACAACTCAATACTAAAAACATATGAAATTAATTTTTTTTCCTTAAAAAAAGACATGGGCAGGAAATGCAAGAAAGATGAAGATGAAGCCAAACCTCATTAACACAAGCACAGTTTGTAACAGGTAATGCTCTGCCTGCAAATTGAAGTCTACTTTTAGTCTCATTATCATGAATCTAAAAATCAAATAAAACTGCTCAAGAATTGGAATGCAAGAAAAATCAAACCAAGAATCACACGAACAGATCATAGTAGATGTGATAGTATTAAGACCAAAAGGATGAGACTAAACACACCTCTCAGCATACGTGGTGCCGTGCTTCCCTTACTCCCCAACTTCTTACAAACTGGAAAATCCTAAATTATTGAAAGCAAGTTATGTAATGGACATGAAAGATTCTGTCTTGAAGAGAAAAAGTAGGACCGAAATTAAGAACTCATGGAGATAACCTCAGCTGCAGAGTTAGAGGAGCAAAGGGGAACGGGGAAGGGAAGAAAGCAAGATACCCAGAAGAGATTTGGATTTCTAAGCCACGGTCCTAAATGGAGAGGAGGGTATTGTTTGGAGCAGTATGGTATGCCGCCGCACGAGAGGCGAGAAGGGATAAACCCGCCTGGAGGGTGGAGGGTGGAGGTTGGATAGGGATGGCAACGGCTCCCTACGGGGGCGGGGACCCCCTCCCCATCCCCATCCCCATCCCCATCAATGGTAGGTACGGGGATCCCCGTGGTGAATTTTTAAGGAGGGTCAAAAATTTCCTCCGTACTCATCCCTGCGGGAATAATAGTTCCCCGCAGGTATTCAGAGTAACCACCAAATAAAATTATCACCTATTTTATTGCTTGTTAATCAAAATTGCAAAAGAATATAGCAATTTTACAGAATCCTAGATAACAAACAGAGATGATCAAGATCACTTTTTAAAACAAGATAAACAAGTAGTAAACATACACAATAACACATCCAATATATACATGTCATTGTCAAGCAAGTCCAGCAAACAAGCCAGCAACAAGTTCATATTTCATAAAGAAAAAAAGCATAAACTGCCATATAAATCTAGCAAATCCAACAAAAGGTTTATAAAAAATAAAAGCATAAATTGTAACTATCATATATATCTAGATTCAGCAAAGTTGATAGAAAAAAAAAAGCATAAACTACTGTCAACATGTCCAGCAATAAGTTTATTAAAAAAAAGCACATAAAAGAGTTTAGGAAGTGGCACATGCGTACATATCCATCCAATCCAACAAACCAAACTCTACAGCAGCAACTTAAGCTAAGCTTGATCAATAATTTCAAGTTGAAGAAATAACTTCCTGAAATTAAAACAAATACCCCGAATTAACAAAATTTTAAAAAATTTTCTTTATATAATAATTTATATAAAGAAACATTATTGTTTAAAATTTACCTCAGACTGAGCATCCTCATTATCGTTCTCCTCAAACTCCTCAAATAGATTGAAGAAATTCCCATTATTGTCAGAACCTAAATTTCAAACATGATAAAAGTTTAGAATATAAATTCAAAAATAAGAAAATAAAAGTCTCATGAAATTCAGAGTCTCTTATGCCGTCTCAGAAATCCAGCTGTTTCCATTCTTCTCCAGCGTCGTCCTCCTCCTCCTTCTCCACCCTCAGGCGGATTGCCATTTTTTTATATATATTCTTCGAGTTTATTAATAGAAAAAAGAATTATTGCTCGACATTAAATAAGATAATCCATAACATGAAACGCAAAGTGTAATTTTGAATTTTAGGATAATTTTTGGACGCAAAAACAAAAACCGTGAATCAGATTAGGACTGATCAGTATGCTGCAACGTTCAAGATCTATCAATTTGTCTTCGACTCTCTCCGTCCGTTTGTCTTTTGCAGATTTTCGCTAGTTTCTAGATATAACCTTAAGCCCCTTCCTTAGAAACACTAAAGCAAAGCACAAAAACAGTAGCTTCAAAAACTGCATCTAATTGATACCTGGAGTTGGAGAGTTTGAAAAGAATCCGAGGCAGAGCTGCAGAGGAGGAAGCCACGCGACAGCAGAAAGAGGACGACCCAATTGCAGTGACGGACTAACGGCACAGTGAGAGGCTGGCTGAGACGACCCAACGGCAGCCTTGGAGCTGGAGGTGAGCGGTGAGCGACTGAGCGTTGCAGGGCAGCAGGGGCCAGAGGTTGTAGTGACGGCACGGTGGTGAGTGGTTGTAGTGACGGGCTGAGTCGGCTGACCGCACGGTGAGTCAGTGAGAGGTTGAGGGCTGAAGGGAATCACCAATTCACATTTCACAGTGGTCCGTGGAGATGAGGGCAGAGAGGATTGAGCAAGAGTGCGGCAGAGGAGAGGAGACTGACCGGAGAGACCGACCGAGAGAGGAAATCCCAAATTCGCAATTTGCAAGAAGCGGCAAGAGACTGAAAGTGAAATGCAAATTGGATTGTCCTTTTGCTAAGGTTATATGTAAATTGGGCTGTAAATTGGGGATGGGCAATTAAGTTTAGAAATATTAAATTGACAAAAAAAAAATTGGGTTTAGAAAAATTGAAAAAAGAATGAGTTGTGAAATTTAAATTATATTGGTATTCAATTAACTA